AAGCAAAAAAAAAGAAAAAAAAGCCAGGAGTGGCTCAAGTGGTAGAGCGCTAGCCTTGAGCTGAAGAGCTGAGGGACAGCGCCCAGGCCCAGAGTTCAGGTCCCATGACCGGACCCCCCCCCAAAAAAAATGCTCAGTATCTCTGGCCATAAAAGAGATATTAATCAAAACAACACTGTGATTCCACCTCATCCCAGTTGACCATTATCAACAAAGCAAGCAATAATAGATACTGGTTACAGGTGGACCCATTGCAACAATGAGATGTACAAGTCGTTATATCGAAAAACGAACTTTACAACTTTCGTGGAGGGGGGGAGGATCAATTGGGGGGAGAGGGGGAGTATGGGAAGGGATGGGAAGGGGAAACAGAGGAGGCAATGATGCTTGATGAGAAATGTACTCGTTATCTTGTCCATGTAATTGTAACTCCTCTGTATGGCATTCTCACAATAAAATAAATAATAGATACTGGTGATGTAGCAAAAAAAGGAACCCTTATTACCCTGTTGGTGGTATGGTAAGCTTGTTTGGTCTGGAAAGCAATAAGGAGATTCCTAAAACAACTAAAATTTCCCTGTGACCTAGCAATTCCATTTCTGGCATTTATCCAAAAGATCACAAACCAGGTTACACTAAAGCCACCAGCACAACCATGTTCATTGCAACACTATTCACCATAGTCAAAGCATGGAATCAGCCCTGATACCCATTAATGGATGAATGGATCAAAATGGAATTTTACTGATATTGTATAATTTGTAAAAAAAAATGGAAAGACTTGGAAAAAATTATAGTAAGTGAAGTATGTCAGGCCCAGAGAAACAAATGTTACATGGCTTCATCCATATGTGGAAGCTAGAATTATCCTATAAACCTTTAAAGAGGTTGGGTGCTTTGCAAGTGGTTACAAATGTATTAACTGAAATATGGTTGAGGCAAGAGAGAATTTAAATAGTGTAATTCCTTATAAAAGCCAAGTCAAAGCCCAACAAAATAAGCACTAGGAAATGGGTGCTTGCAAAATGTGGGGTGGGGCAAAGACAAGAGGGGTAGATGGAAGAAGATGAAAGGCAAGTGAGAATGTAAGGAAAAGGAAAAAGTAAGGGAAGAATGTGTCAGAAAGGGTGGGTGAGAATGTTGAAAGAATGACACATCATAAAGTGCTTTGTTAGATGGCAATATATATTCTCAAACATATACATAAATATATACATCATGTGTGTGTGCGTGTGTGCATGTGTGTGTGTGTGTGTGTGTGTGGCTTCTTCTACAAATGATTCTGGAAAAAAAAAGACTTAAACTAGGTTCCTTTTACCCTATACAAAGATCAATTAAAATATAAGATCTTGAACTTTGAAACTGCTACAGGAAGCCAGGGGAAACACATGAAGATAGAGAGGCAGTTAATAGAAGTTGTTGTTCAGAAGACAATAACTTTCTGATTAGGACTATAATAAATTAGAAACCAAGAATAAGAACTGACAAATGGGATTATATCAAATCGAAAATGCTCTGCACATCAAAGGAAACAATTGCAAGAATGAGGAGACAACCTAGAGAATGGAAGAAAATCTTGGTCAACTATTTATCTCATAAGTGATATATGTATGTATGTATGTATGTATGTATATATCTATCCACATAGATTATACACTCATTCACAACAGAGTATTATTCACTCATAAAGAGGAATAAACTTATATAATTTTCAGGAAAATGGATGCATGCAACTAGATATCATGTTTACAAACCATTCCAGTGAAACATACAATTTTTTAAGGCAAAGGAAACATTTGAGTCCTACGTAATAGTTTCTGCAATTTGACAAAATACTGTGCAAATTCACTGACAGATACTAGAGAAGTGATACTTGTTGATAATAACAATGCTTGATAAGAAATGTACTCATTACATTGCTCATGTAACGGTAACCCATCTGTACAGTGTTTTCACAATAAAAAACTTATGTTAAAAAAGTCTTTATTTTTGTGTCCTATGTCCCAGACCTGTTTACACTTTGGGAAATTGATAGGAGTAAAACTGTGTACATTTCAATTTCTCTATAGAAATTATATCAGATCATTTAATGAAAGTTTAAATAACAAATTCAGTGCAATGATTGGAATGTTTCAGACAGTTTGATAACAGCTAAAAATAATGATTAAAGTCTCTTTAACTAATTTAGATAGTAGGCCAGGTGTATATGTGTTTGCTTTTCTTTTAAATGTTGTATTGAAATATTGAACCATCTGTTCTTGTGCATAAACATTTTCCTAGGATTCAAATGGGATTATGGAATATGATGTGGTTTTATGATTATTATGGGATGAGCAGACTGCTTGTGATAAAATCTTACTTTAGGGGCCTTTTAATGATGTCTATAAGGAAATCATTCCAGGCTTTAGGTTGGCAAAACATCTCAGATCCAATGATTTTGTATTTTTTTCTTTTTACAAATGTTGGTCTGGCTAATTTTAAGTAGCAAACTCTTAAATTAGATGAAACTTTATCAAGTTTTGTACTTATACAGACTGTAATTCATTTTCTGAATTATGTCAGCTCATTTCTAATTGTTTTTCACTAATATCAAATGGCACTGTTTGTTGAAATGTTTGCCCACTGTGCAGAATAATGCTTTATCTATGTTTAATAAATATTACCTTCCATATTTAGAATATCAAAATATTAGCAATCAATGGAATATTTATTAGTCAATCAAATGGAATAACTGCATCCCAGAACATTTCAGGGCTTTCTAGGTATAAATATGTGAGCAAAATTTAAAGATTTACAGTTCATGTGTCAAAAGGTTTTTTTTTTTTTTGAAAAGAAGAAGTTTCATGATTATACACTTTTCCTCCTGATACACTTAAGTGGCGTGGCATATTTTTATCAAATGCACTACCTTGTCACTAGGAGGTAATGGCAGATGGAGTGGAAAGCAGGCTCATAATACCATCAAAGGGTTATCCAAACTTATTTTCATATTCTTCTGTTGAAATACCAACTCTGTTGGATTCCCCTCTTGATAATCACAGATTATTTAACAAATATAAAGCCAGGCACTGTTGGCTCAGGCCTGTAATCCTGTCTATTCAGGCGTCTGTGATCTGAAAATCACAGAAATCAGTCCAGTCAGGAAAAAGACCATGTGATTCTTGTCTCCAAAGAACCAGAAGTAGAGATGTAGTTCAAGTAGTATAGTGTTAATCTTGAGCAAAAAAAAAAAACAACTAACAGTGCCTAGACCCTGAGTTCAAGATCAAGTCCTAGCAGAAAGAAAGAAAGAAGAAAAGAAAGAAAGAGGAAGGAAGGAAGGAAAGAGAGAGAGAGAGAGAGAAAGGATGGAAGGAAGGAAGAAAGAAGAAAGGAAGGAAGGAAAGAAAAGAAAGAAATGTGATGGATAGCTCCCCAATTGCTTTCCAACTGAACTTTTAAATGACTTTGATTTACTATTTAAGTTGATAAATACATTTATAAAAGTTTTGATTTATATACAAACTACTTGTAGTAAGTTAATATAAATAAGTGGGGATAGACAAGGCTAGTGATCCTGATTCTTCTGTTTTCATCATTTCAGCACCCTCCAGTAGAAAACCAGGTGACCCCCTTGTCATTTCAGATATCAAGAAAGGGAGTGTGGCACACAGGTAAGGCAAATGTATTTCTTAGTTATTCCTTGATGTAAGCAAAACTTATCTCAAGATCGATGTTGGTAGTATATCATACCCTCTCTTCTCTCATTTTCCAGGCAGCCATTACTAGTCAGTCATATTTGTTATCTCTAGCAGCAATGATTATATAGATCTTTCCTTTCTCTTTATTTCTATTTATTACCTCAGAGCAGGCAATAATTAGCTGAAAATATTTTGAGGGTCTTTCCAGAGTTCAGCATGGATGCTTCTTCACCAATCATCTCCATCTTCTATTTTCTAGGAAGAACCCAGAAAGTAGGCCTAGTTGTAAGAAGTACCTCTCAAAAACACCATAGCTTATGGGGCAGTTTTGTTAGATGATTCTCTGTTCACCTTGGGACAAGCAAAATTCTTGACTCTACGGTAATGTGAACGTCTACTATTTTGCTCCTATATATCATCAAAATAACGCAGTTGAAACTTTTTATTTCACACATAAAAATTCCTTTTTTACTGAAATAACTGAAATAGCACTTTTATTTCAATATTGCTGAAAGTATTCAATATTTCAATTTACTGAAAATCTTACTGAAATAAGACTTTCCTTTTATTCTTCAGCTTAGGACTTAAAGATCCCATCTGTTGAATTCACTAAAAAAATATTTTAACAATCAAAATTAGGAATGGCATTGTATGAGTTGAGTCAGGTATAAATTCAAATATAAGCTCAGCTGCTATAAGAAGAAACATAAATATTTTGGATTAAGTTAAGACTGATGTTTGAAATTGGATGGATATAGGGGGCCATGCTCTGGGCCACAGCCACAAGGGTACATGCATTTGGCGGATGGAACAAGATGTACAACTTTTTCTATGTCCCTTTCTACCCGCTCCCATGTTAGAGCCGATCTTGGTGGGCATTTTCTGTCCTTAACTTCTCCTTTGACCTAAATGTTGTGAACAATGATACCAAATATCCAAAGCCTGACACATTTATGGCCTGATGGAAGAGCAGACTCCAGGGCAAAGCATGACACAATAAACCTATGATTAACTGTTTCAAAATGGCTATTTGTATGTGAGAATGCTCAAATGTAAAACGAAAAGAAAAGAAAAGGATGGAGGTCATTTGGCTGCCAGGAGGGAAACATACAATCCAGATGGGTTAGCCATCATACTAACAATCACTAACATTTCTTGGCTATAGATGGAAGGTAGGAGGCAGGAAGTGATGCTGAGAGTCTGGAACATTCGTTCTAAGGGTGACCCAGAACAAGGAAGGGAGATGGATACGGGGGAAAGATTGGCAGTCTCTATCACAGACATGTATCTATTTTACACATATGAACACATGGATACTACATTCTAATTATTTTTCTGATTGTACTATTGACCTTAAAAACTTTCAACAAACCTACACGGGTCCAGGACCAGTGTTATACTCTGAGTCACTTTCCAAGTAAGTACATCAGACTTCTCTACACATTTCCCTCCTAATCCAGCCACGGTGAGTGTTCATGTACAGGTGAAAACGACACAGATTCCAAAACTCAGTTCTCCACTAAGTCCATCTCACCTTGACTCGCCCCAACCCTCTCCCAGTATCCAGTTGCAAATGATCTAGAGTGATGTGACAATATGAAGGATTACAAGGACATTTCCATGTCTACTAATCCCTGTCTGATCTACCTTCCCAGGAACCTTTCTGAAGGCTTAGATGGATGTCCTGGCTTAATTGAAGGAAACATAAGAAAAAGTGTTTTTAATGCTCTATAACTTAATGTCACCACAGTCATCTCAAAAAAGACTGGGTAGGGACATAAAGGGATGGTTGTCAGCAAAGCGCGATTTGAAAATAGTTGAAGCACCTCTTTTTATCTAAAGATCACCATAAAGCTGCCTTATACTTAATGCCTTTTTAAAGGGCTGACTTAAGTACTCATCTTGTTTCTGTGCACTTCCTAACAGAACTGGGACCCTGGAACTTGGGGACAAACTGCTTGCCATAGATAATATCCGGTTGGACAACTGTTCCATGGAAGATGCGGTCCAGATCCTCCAGCAGTGCGAAGACCTGGTGAAGCTCAAGATCCGCAAAGATGAAGATAATTCAGGTATCGATAGCATCCTCGCTGAAGTCTGATTTTCCTCACTACCCTGATGGCAAACAGATTCTGATGTTTTACACACAACAGTTGGCTAGTGACATTGCAGAAGGGTTTTACATAGTTGAGTCTTCAAATTAGATATTGAGAGGGTAGAATGAATTTTAAATAATGGGGCTTTTAAGGGAGATAATTAAGATTCTTTCATTATGAGTATGATCAGAATTATATTAACATAAGTTTAAGGATGAAAACCAAATCACCACTCTCCTACCCTAATGCAGTAGAAGTCATTTTCATATTGTTGTTGATATCAATATCATATAATTATAATAATAGTGGAATTTGCATTTTTAACTTTATATTTTAAATTTTACCATTTTACAGCTACCTAACATCTGTCTTTGTTATTTGTAATAGCTTCATTGCAGATAGTAGTATCATGGTATTTCTAGTGTATAAATATCTTTATTTAAATTTGCAGTTTTTTAATTGTTTCCTCATGTAATATTTCTAAAAGTATAATTGCAGAATCAGAATGTAAAGGAAACTTTTGATGCATTTTTTTCTATGATGCTTCCCAAAAGAACTCTATTTGGGGAGCAACATGGCCTCCAGTAATACATGAATACAGTAGATGTGGAGCCATGATTCTGCTGCTAGTGGCTTTAGAATCACCTGGGGAGCTTATGAAAACACAGATTTTAGGTGCTGTCCCCAGGTGTATGATGTGAGATTCTGCATTTCTAACAAACTTCCAGTGATGCAAAGAGCAAAACCTTTAGTAGCCTGGTAAAAGAAGCCCTTTTATTTGGTGATAGTAGCAGTGTGAAGCTATCTCGGAAAGGTCAATTGATTGAAAGAGTTAACTAACATCAGGAGATTATAGAAAGTGATAAATATCCAGATTCTAAATATTTAGTTTAAAATTTTTCTAATCTTATGGGTAAAGTCAATGCCTTTCCTGGTTCCAGTGGCTTCTGTCCATCTCTAATGCAAAAGCCTTTCAGTCTGTTTCAAGTGTCATCAAATCCTCTACAGTTTCAGCAGTGCTCAGAAGTCCATGTTCAAAGTCTCCTAAAACTCATGGCAGGTTCTTAGCTGTGAGCCCCTGGGTGAAAATAAGTTCCATACATTTGAGATACAATGGCACAGAGTAAATACTTCGATTACAAAAATGAACAGGAGCATAAAAAGGAGGGATGGGACCAAAACCTAACAGGGAAAACAATAAATTCTCTTCACCTTCTGGGTTAGGTGAGTTCCAAAGGGCTTAACCCCTGCATCCTGCTCTGCTGTATTCTACAAGACCTTCCTCCTGGGGTGGCTTTGCTTGCTGTTGTGACCATCCATACAGATGGTCCATATTCCTGACATTTTTAACATCCTAGGATCTCTGTTGCAGCTTTGCCTTCACCCTCTCAGCTTCATGTATCAATCACCCTCTTGTGCTGCTCATGGGGATTCTAACCCAGCCTTGCCTGTCCTGGTGAAAATCTCCATGCTCTCATGATGCTTGGGTTGTACCTAGCTGCAAAACCAACATTGCATGGGCAACATTGAGGACTGCAGCCAGCTTGAACAGTGGCCAGGCCCACCTGGACCATGGCAGCAGTAGCTCCTGAGTACCCAGATGGCAGAACTTGGAGAAATACTTCTCTAAGCAGTTCTGTGTACACTGGGTTATCCTGGAACATCTTCTTAAAGAAATGTCTTTGAGCCTGCCTTTGGTAAAATCCAGCTAATCCATGAGCCCTCAGAACATGCTTCCTTTTATCCCTGATATAAAGTTTTGGCTTTGCTGTTGTTTTTTGTTTGTTTGTTTGTTGCCACTTCTGGGGCTTTGGACTCAAGGCCTGGGCACTGTCCCTGTGCTTCTTTTGCTCAAGGCTCTACCACTTGAACCACAGCTTCCGGCTTTTTCTGTGTATGTGGTACTGAGGAATCAATCCCAGGGCTTCATGCGTGGTAGGCAAGCACTCTACCACTAAGCCATATCTCCATCTCTTAGCATTTTTTTTAAGATGCTAATGTCTTCACCAACCATGCCTTCCTTGGTTTCAAGTTTAAATGGACTCCTTTTTCTAGTCAAACTACAAGTTTTCCTAATCTTTCTGCTCACCATTTTTCTTTTTGATTCTCACTGTAAACCTACTTAAAAGCAGCCAGCAGTCCTCCCTCTTTCCCCCATGCAACGCCTAAATGCTGGTCTGTCTGGAACTTTCCTCCAACAGCTTAATTAGTACATCAGCAATAAATGCAAACAAACAGTCTCAGGGCACAGACAAAATATAGACAAGTTTTTTTGGCAAAATACCTTATTAATGACCTCTAATCAAGGTCCAAAGAGAATGCTTGCATTCATCCACATTCCTTTGGCATTCTGGTCTTCTTAGATCCCATTATAATCATCCACTAGGTTCTGCTGACAGCATTCTAATTTTTTATAACCTGAGTCTTTCAAAATCTTTCAGAATCTTTCAAATTCTTCCCTAAATCATTTACAGGGGCCTGAAAATGACCTTACTGCTTGGTGTCAGTAGTCTATGTTAGCTTTCTGCCACTGTCACAAATTTTTTCCTTAAAACAATTTGAAGGAAGAAGGGTTTACTTTGTCTTAATTTTTCAGAGGTTTCAATCCACGCTCTGGTTTCCAGCCAGCTAGCTCTGTTATTTCTGGAGTGTGATGAAGCAGAACTTGTCAGTGCATTATTAATATGTTAGTAAAGTTAGTGACCTCATGATCCTATCACATTTCAGCACTCCAAACTGGGGACCTTATCTTCAATACCTGAGCCATTTGAGGGGTACTTCATAGTCAAAGCATAATAATTTCTGGTTTCCTTTTGTTTTCTCCTTAAACTAACTGCATTCTAACTGATAGAGAACAACATTAAAATTGTGTGTGAAAAAGGCAATAAATTTAGATACCTGAATACTTTATAGAATGTTTAGATCATGTTAAAAATAACTATCTCCTCAAATAAAATTTCTTTATTGTGAGAGCTTCCCAAGTTATTCTAGATCTCTGAAATAAACAATACATTATTGTTAACTACAGTCAGAACTTCTTGCTGTTTTGTTTTCAATACAATTTTTTGTTTTCTCTTTATCGGTACTGGAGATCAAACCCAGGACATTCCACTTGCTAGACAAGCACTTTGCCATTGAATTACATCCCAGCCTTACAATTTTGTTTTAAACAACTTGAAGCTGTCTTATTGTTTACTCACCTTGATTTTTAATTTTTCCAGTGTTGTAGCATTTTCCCTCTATGTAATTGACAGTAGATTTTTATCTAATGCATTTGGTTATGTTTTATACAATAACTATAGCTATTTTATACAATAACATAGCTGTTTCATAAAATATGTATGATTAATTAAATCACATAGTTACCATAACAAATATAATGGGCATGTGAACAGACACAGGAATTGTGTTAGTTACTTTCCTCATCACTGTGATCACATACCTAAGATTAAAAACCTAAAGCTGGGAATACTTTAGCTCATGATTTCAGAGCTTTCATGGCAGGGAGAACAAGGGTCTGACAGAGCAGAGCAACCAGCCTCATGGCAATAAGAACATGTGGCAGAGACTACTCATCTCACGGTGGACAGGAAGCAAAGAAAACAACACAGAAGCCCTAGAATAAGAGACAGCACCCAGTGACACAGCCCCAGTAACCAACTTCCTTTCAATAGGTTCCACTTCTTAAGGGTAGAGAATCTCCAAAAATAGTGCCACCAGCTGGGAACCAAGAGCTCAATACATGAACCTGTCAGAGAGACATTTTTATATGCAAATCATAAGTTGTTGCATTTATAACTGAAGTAGGAACACATATATACAGAGGAGAAGAGAAAGAAACCTCCGATTCAGGAATATTCTATGACATTGGTTTGTATATTTTACAATATAAGATAAAACAATTAGATGTGTAAGTCATGACTGTTTTTATGTATACAAAACCATTTGGATTGAAATACATGCAGCATGAAATTGCATATTCATGAATTCATATATATGTTATGAATATATATGAATATGTAATTTCATCCCAGCTGCATTAGTCAGCTTTGTGTCACTGTGACAAATTACCTGAAAAATCAACTTAAAAAAAAGAAAGGTTTATTTTGGCTCATAGTTTCAGAGATTTCAGGGCAAAACTTTTACTTTATAGAATCAGGAAACAAAGTGGGGAAGGTCCCATTATCTATTTCATGTATGTGCATACTCCAAAGACCTACCTGTCTCCTACAGGCTTCACTTCCTAAAGGTTCTAAAGCCTAACGTGTCACAAAGTGACACAAAGCATTAGCATGTGTTCCTTTGGAGACACTTAAGATCCAAATCATAATTCTAACCAAAAATGAATTCTTATCAGTGATCTCCACTCACTCCATAACCAAATCCTCTACATCTAGAGTTCATGGTTATGTCATCTATGTCATGTGTTCGTGATTCTGTTCAGTGTTTTAAAAGATCAATAGTGGACTGGGAAGGTGGCTTAGTCAGTGGTAGAGTGCTTGCCTTGCATGCATGAGGCCTTGGGTTCAACTCCTCAGCACCACATAAGATGAAAAAGCCAGAAGTGACACTGTGGCAGTGGTGATGTGGCTCAAGTGGTAGAGCACTCACCTTGAGCTAAAGAGCTCAGAGATAGTGCCCAGGCCCAGAGTTTAGGCCCCAGGATCCAAAAAAAAAAAAAAAGCTCCTTCTCTCCCTGTCTCTTTCAAATCACATACCCAATGTTTCCCTAACTGTAATTCCTAAGGTTCCCAAATAAAGTTCTTTTAAAAAAAATAAAAGATCAGTATTTATACCCATTGAATAGTTGACAGTGATTATATCCAATATTTATAACCAATGTTTAAAAGAATGGCCAGGTTTTTACTTATTATTTCCCAGATAACTGATTTTTCAGTGCCAATATTTGCATTCTTCTCCTTGCCAGTTTTCTTCAACTGCACTTGATTTGGGGGGTTCATTTTAAGAGAGGGCTA